TGTGTGGATTAACCAGCAGATTTGCCCCGTGTGATAACGTCCATAGAACAAATGCTTGCGGCTTATCGGAGACAGGGGACGTGATTTAGGGATGCCTTTCAAAAAAGCACATAGAACAAGTACATGAATCAGTCCCCTTCCATGTGCTAAACTAAGGAAAGACCTCTTCTTTGCACTTAGCACCCTGAATCGCAAATGCCTCCCATCCCAATAAATCCTGTTCAACTTAGGCCACCAACATTTAAAGATTTGAGCTCATTCTGAGCCTCTTCTTTAAAAGGAGGGTAAAAAGAAACTGTATTGGCATATATGAGTGAAGGGCTATGAATCTGATGACCTTCTAAATCCCAAAGCATTTAAAGGTGACTTTTCGAAAGTATAACTACCTTCTCACATTTCACAGATGAAAACAGAGGCACGTGTGGCCAAGCCACATCAGAGCATTGATGATGATGATGATGATGATGATGATGATTACTTACCTGCCTCTCCCCATGGATCCAGGCGGGGAACAACAACAAATAAACAATGCGCAGTATCAATTAAAACACATTCATTAAAACATGCAGCAGTTTAAAAGGACAAATAAGACATACAGATTCTAAAACGTCCACATTTAAAATTCATCATTTAGAAATCATCTAGATAAGCTTGCCGATTAAGATGGCAAAAGTTATAAATGAGGAAGAACAGACAAGCTAGGAGATAGCTGCAGCAGTTTGTTTTTGCCTGAGTCTATAGGGAAAGGCAAGATTTGGCTACTCAACTCACTGTTAACTGAATGCATACCACTTTTGCATTTGAAAATAATGAATTTTCAGCAGTTGAAGTAAGCTGAGATGAAGGGGAAAAGTGGGAGAAGGAGAGTAAAAACTGGGACAGTTTTTAAAAGCAGATAAAATAGTGGGATGATTCACTGGGACTGTCCCTTACAAATTAAGGTAGCTGGAAGTTATGACAGAGCAGCCATGCAGTTGCAAGTGGCTTTGCTTTCACTGCGTAACTCACTTGACTCCCACAAAATTGGTCTTCTTTATCTCTCCTTCTTTAGATTATGTTTGTTTACCCAAGACTTTGTGGCAAAAACACTTTGGTGGAAATAGACTGGAACAAAAGCAAAGTAGGCAGGCAAAGATAACATCAGAAAAGAGACTATAAAGTAAATTAGCCCTAACGTCCACAGACTGACACAAAGAGCTGTGTAATTGGTCATTTTCCTCCTAGTACCCAGTGTTTGAGGCCAACTCACAAGATGCTTGAGGAACAATACTGTGCAGTAAAAGGATCAGAGAGCAAAGAGGACATTGCAAAGGAGATGTGCTCCCCCATTGCACAAATTGCATAAGCTTATATGCAAAGACATTGCATTGTTAAGATCTTCCATTCTATTTATCCTTCCTTCCTTCCTTCCTTCCTTCCTTCCTTCCTTCCTTCCTTCCTTCCTTCCTTCCTTCCTTCCTTCCTTCTGTCCATACTTTGGACATGATCTCCCAAATCTCCCAGCTACCATGATTTTGGAAGTTAAAGCCCAGAACATAGGAAGGTTAGGTACATCACAATAGTGAGGCTGCTCAAGTTAGTTTGTCTGTTACTATTGCATATACACAGATAGATGCCAGGTGAAAAAGAAGGACCTCTCTGTGTTAATAATGTTTAAATTTTCACACCAAGGGCTACTGCCTATGCCTTTTTCCTCCCTCATTATTATGTGCAGAAAACTCTTCTTTGGAGTTTATCACACAAGGGAAAAATTGCAAGTATAAATGGTGATTAACCTGTGATTAACCTGCAATTGCATGCAAATGCGTGAATGGTTTTCACATGACTTTGAGGCGAAACGTGATTAAAGTGCCATTATCCCGTAAAGAACCAGGCAAGAAACAACAGTAACTCATTCATGCAATTTTCCTGTGAATGACTTTTTGGCTGTTTCTTGCTTGGTTATTCCCTGGTTCTTCACGGGATAATGGCACGTGTGTTAATGTTGTTTTAAGCATGTTTTAATATCAATTGTGTGATTTTCATGAGTTAATCATTGTTTAAACTCCCAAATTCCTTAGTCTGGTGTTGTTTTTGTGTGCCTTCAAGCTGCTTCCAACTTAAGGTGATCCTAAGGTAAACCTATCATGGGGCTTTCCTGGAAAGATTTGTTCAGAGAGGAGGTTTGTCATTGCCTCCCCCTGAGGCTGAGAGTGTGTGACTTGCCCAAGGTCACCCAGTGGGTTTCATGGCTGAGCAGGGAATGGAATCCTGGTCTCCAGAGTCATAGTCCACGGCTCAAACCACTATGCCACGCTGCCTCTCTCTGTCTGGATTGATTTGCAACGGCCTGTTCTGTGCCTGCTGCTGACGAAGGGCGTGCTCCTCAAATGAATGTAATCATTTCCTAAGAAAGATTAATAGGATGTTTGAACTATGATGGATTTTATGGTCTTGTATGAGCAACAATTAAATATATTCAGTATTTATGATATGGATGGGTATGCAGCGGGCAGGAAATGGAAGAGAAGGAGTGTGTAGGCATGGTGTGTCCCTACATGTGCATTAATGTGTGTGTGCGATAGGCTCAAGATTTTCTTTCTTTGTTTCTGTAGGCAAGTGACTTGATGGCCATACCTTCCAACAGTCCCAACTAGGCAGGGACAGTCCCAATTAATCCACTATCAATGTTCTGATTTCTCTCTTCTTCTCCCACTTCCCCCCTTTATCCCTGCTTCCTTCACTTGCTACAAACTAAGTTCAATGTCCGAAAGTAGTTTGGGCTCAGCCCAGCACAAGGAGAGGAGAGAAGGGGAAGAATCTTGCCTTTCCCAGTAGGTTCAGACCAAAGCAAACTGCTGCAGCCTCTCCTTGCTTGTGTGTTTTTCATAATTTTTTGCCAGCTTGACCAAACCCTGATGTTGGTTGGCCACACAGGTCTCCATTTTCATACCCATTTTCATACCGAGTTGGAGGGTATGGCTGTCTCTCCAGATGTTTTGGACTACATCTCTCATAATTCACAATTGGCATATTGGAGCTGATGGGATTTGTAATCAGTGAGCTTCAGTTGCCTGTTCCTGCTGTATACATCAGTACAGCATCCATTTCACAAGAAGTAATACTTCCACGTGATGCTATTTTAGTGACCCTGCATCTGCAGGATTGCACAGTTTGGAGTGGCCATTTTAAGAGAAACTAGAGCATGCATTTCCTTTTCAACTAACTAATAAATAAAAACTGTATGGCAGTCTTTAACAATGCAGTGTAGCAACATACAAAGAGATGTGATTCATGGTTTTGTATTAGGATCAGGGGAACAGTGTCTCTTCCAAGTAATTCATATCCTCTCTGCTCCTTGATCTTTGCTCCGCAAGTATTATTAGCCCATCATCTTGTGAAATTGCCTTAATATTACTCATTACTTTGGCCACCACCATTTTTCAAAATGTGAACCAGGGTGTTGAAGGGTCTTTTGTTTTAGGGCCCTTTCAGTCTGCACAACTCTTGCACTATGATTCCATTTTAATGGCCATGGCATAGCGTCCAACTTTTTAGGTATGAAAACTGGGACAGAGTGTGGTCAAGTCATTAAAGCGGAAGACAATGCAAGCTAAGGGAAGCAGCAGCAGCAGTTTGTTTTTGCTTGAGCCTACTGGGAAGGGCAGGATTCTGCCCCCTCCTCATATCTCCCCCCTTCCCATGCTGAGATGAGTGTGAAATGTAGGAGGGAATGGGGGCTGTGGGGGTATTTTTGTCACCCACTACCCCACTCGGAACCATTTTAGGTCCAGGAGAGGCTTTTTAAAAAAGGCCAGGCCAAACCAAACAGAAAGAAAATGTTTGTTTTGTGTGTTGGGGACAGTGGTTTGGGCTCGGATGTGGACTCTACCTGCTAGTTGTTCTCCCTGACAGCTAGTGTTTCTCCATGCAGGATGTTTGGAGAAGGATTGGATTAGGCAAGTGTCTCTAAGTGTGCCACCTGCGTTCGTGAAGCTATGGTACAGACAAGGCTTTCTACTACATGACAGAGCCACCGTTTCATCATCTCCGTGAGAATAGCACCTTTGTCTCGTGTCTTTCTTCCCCTTTTCTTTATCCAGCCCTTCCTGGCAAAGGAACGGGCTCCTTTCTCTGGGTTGAAGGAGGAAGCCAAAGTTCCTTTTGTGTTATTGTTCTGGACACAATCACTCCCTTCATGGCCAAACTGTGGGTAGGGAGTTCAAGATTGGGAGCAGTGACAGAATAAATATTAATCTGGATCGGCTAGGTGACACAGTGTTCACAGAGTAGCAACCAACAGCCCGAAGCAAGGACAAGGGAGCCGAGCAACTTCTAGCAATAGTTCTCAGCTTGGGGAAGAGAAGAGAGTCTGAACGAGTGGTTAGAGGTGAGGGATGAATAGAAATCACAAAGCATGCAATGGAGTGGAGGAAGAGGTTGGAGCCCAGTTGTAAATGTTAGTATTATATTCCAAGAAACCAACAAAAGTTCCCAAGGCAAAAACCAAGATGTAAACCAAAAAACCAAAGAAAGGGGTTATGCCAAAAGAATAAAATCGAACAATGTGCTTTTAAAGCACATTGTTATTCTTTTATAAATTCAGCCCTAGATTTTTTGTGCC